TTCTCCATACAAACATCTGGAATTCCGGCGGGCATGGTAGCTTCCATATGCGCTTCTAAGTCTGATCTTTAGTTCTTTCTAGTTGGCCGGCTCGCGAAGAGCTTGAAACCAGTGCTCCATTCTATTCATGTTTAGTTAACTCGACCTGAAGTATGTATGCACTCTTCACCGAGTGGTTACCCTTGCTATCAAAATGCCACGCTATGAAGTCATCCACCCCCTCCCTCGGCGAGATGCTTAGTACATGGCGAGCATCTTTTGCACATAAAGTATCCTTGACAAGACTTTCATCCCAGCCGCCTGTAATTGGGCATATCAGTTCAGAAACATGAGTTAGCAAACTGATTCCTTTTGGTTTCATGACATGTCTTGACCAGGGTCTTGGCATCCATGGGTCCAACCAAATTTTCACTCTTGTGCCATCGCTAATTCTCCATATGTAACCTTGCTTCACAAGATCCAGCCCATTCAGAATGCTTCGCCATGAGTACGAAATTCCATCGCGAGCTTCAGCCTCAAAAGCACTATAGTTAGGAAAGTATCGAGCCTTCGGAACTCTTGCACACAGGCTGGTTGGATTTTGAAGGAGCCTCCATCCTTGCCTTGACAACATGTCCAAGTTAAACATATGCATATCCCGAAAGCCCAATCCACCCATCTCCTTGTGTTGCCACAACTTCTCCCAGCTAATCCAATGCATTGCATTTTGCTTGTCTTGTTGGCTCCACAAAAACTTACCAAGGAGAGTGTTCAGTTCCGCACAAAATGTTTTTGTTAGGTCGAAGCATGACATAGCAAATGTGGGAATGACTTATCCCACAGCTTTCACCAAAACCTCCTTACTCTCCTTACCAAGAAGTTTCTCCTGCCAACCATACACACGGCGACACATGTTGCGTTTGATATAGTTGAAAGCCGTCCTTTTAGAACGACCCACATGGATAGGCTGGCCCAGGTATTTCTCCTTCCAATTTTCACTAAGTATTCCCAACGTACTCATGACAGAATTTGTGACAGTATCACAAGTGTTGGGGCTGAACATAACAGCAGACTTTATATTTGATCAAAAGAAAGGCATAATATATTTTTATGGTAGTATTTTTGCCAGGTTGAAAACCATTGATCCGAAGGTTACTATAATTTGCACTTGTTCCCAAAACTGCACCCGCGCCCACCCTCGTGTATCCTTTTTTTAGAAGGGCCATAGCGCATTCTATCTGTCGCTCTCTCCAACATTGTATTGAGCAATATGCATACGGGAAATCAAGCGAATGAGCAGACTGGTCTGACCCATTTAGCAGTAGCTACTGTACACAACTTTATAGAATTTTGCGGTCCGTTTTTCCCTTTTCTATTTTTGTTGTTTTCTTTTAAGGTTTCTTCCTTTTCTAGAATTCATTTTAAAAACTTCCTTCTATAAGAATGTCATAAAGAACAAAAAAATCATTTTTTTTAAAGTTGTTCAAAACATTTCAAAAGATGTTTGGAATTTTACAAAATGCTTCCCAATTAAAAAAAATCATGTTTTCACAAAATTCATGCTTTCAAAAAAATTACATTTTTATAAATTTGTGCTAAAAACTGCTCACATTAAAAAAAATCATAAAATGTACGAAAATATTAAAAATGTTCATGTTCTACAAAACATGTTCAAAAATGTTTTGATTTTTTTATGTTTTTTAGAAATATATTTACTTTTAAAAATATTGAAAAACATCAATGTTTTTAAAGATCAGAATTAGAAAATTGATTAAAAAACAACCAATTAGGAAAACCACGCTAGAAAACAAAACAAATAGGGAAAAAATTGTTGTACGGTAGCTTTGTCGCTACTATCAAATGTGTCGGCCCAATTGAGGTCTCGCTGTGCAGAAGCCCTCCTATTTGATGCAATAGGAGGTCCCTGGTGATCGGGAGCAACTAATCAGCAAATGCTCTCCTTCGGGAGCCTCCGCAAGGGTCACTTTTAGTGGGTTGGAAACGCATCAATTGGCGTGTTCTCAGTCGCCGCCACGTGTCGTGCTTTGTGTGCTTTCTTCAGATTTTTTTCTGTACGTGGTTTCGACTTTTAGATGTTTTTTTAGCTTTTTGGTTTCCCTCCGGGTTTTTTAGGTTTAGGAAAAAGTCAAACTTTTGCGCGAAAAAATGCATTTTATTTTTTTCTTCTATGGGAGGCGTAGATTTACTTCTCGTGGAGGCACGAATTTGCTTCGTCGTGCATCTCGCAAAATAAAAAATATATATTTATTTTTTCCTTCTGCAAGAGGCCCAGATTTTCTTCTCGTGGAGGCACAGATTTGCTTCCATAAGAGACATAGTTGTGCCTCTTTGGAAAGTAAAAAAATAAACATTTTTTCGTCCATTTTTTCGTGAGAAAGTTCATTGTAACCTATCAACATGAGATCTAGTTTTGAAGATCTCGATGCGAGGAATCCAACGGTGAAAATGGTTCGGGATTTGGACATGTAGTTTAAGATAAAACATTTTGAATAAATGAATCTATGAAAAAGGAAAAACTCCAAGCTGTGACAAATGGTGCATATGCAGTGCGCTACTTGTCGCAACTTGGGGATGTGGGAGTGACCTTTGCGATAAGTACTTCTTAATTAGTGATTACGCTGGTGATCGCGCCTCTTTGTAGAAATTTCTAATATTTTTTAAAAACATTTTAACTTAAGTGGGCTAGGCTTTTGAGTCATCTGGAATTCTATTCTCGATTAAGTAAATGGGTTGTGGCCTCTTAACCAAACCGAAATGGTAAGATCATGTATAATGGTTGATAAGAAGTCTTATCTTAAACCTTGCATGTAATTTAGAGATGACAATAAAACATGTCTAAAAACATGGTGAGACATAAGAAAAGACGAGCCATTTCTTATGGATTCTCTCTTCTCCATCTCAGTATTTATCCTATGTGGGTAGCACCATTATAATGCCCTAAGTATATGTGTGTGCTAAAAAAGGCAGAGGTGTGATGGCTCATGTAATACGACCAGAAAACACCACGGGTCCAGCAGCTTACCGCTTAGGGCCTTGTCGGCGGCAAGGCGCCTCAGGAGTGGGGACTGGTGGTGCGGTAGGGTGTGGGCACTCAAATGTCCGGTAGGCGGCGCACCTCTGTAGAGGCTCGTGCACCGGAGGGAAGCTCACTTGTTTTAACTTCTTCCCGGGGGCTTAACCAATGGTGAACCACGAGCAAATGGTTAAAGACTTGATGTGAAGATGAGTTGTTGACAAAATGCTCAAGGGAGTCCTCGTGAAGACCAGAGGTCGGTCACTTCTTTCCGTCGATCCACTACAACACGTCAGTTGATCCGAGGCGTTATGGTAGGGGCATTTTCTAAAATGCCTTATTACTTGTTGTTTCGAGGCATTTTGGAGGATCGCCTCACAAGGGCAGAGCATTTGGGTGTTTTGAGGATTCGCCTCGAAACCCAGGTGCATCGGCGGCGAAATTTCAAAATGCCGCATAGTTTAGTTCTACATACGTAGGCGAATTAGCATAAACACCGTGAATTAGACCTTTTTCATGGCATTTTGCTGAATGCCCTCCCCGTATTAGACAGCGTTTCCAAGCCAAACGCCTCGCTATAGAACTCAGCAGCAGTGGCAGAAATCCTTATTAACTAAAGTTCTTCAAGGATTTTGTTCGGAACACCAATGGCGCAAAGGCGCCATACAATCAAAGATTCATTGCCTGGTCGGGTAGAAAGAGAGAAAATTTGCTGTGCAGCCTCGCCGGAGTTGGGAGGGAAAATACAGGAAATTTGCCTAGTCACTTGCCGAAAACAAAATTAAATGCTTGTGTCATCCGAGCTAGAACAGGCAAAAATAATGGTGCATGCCTCGTCAAGTTTCATTAAATGGAATAGACAAATTTTGGCGGCTGCGTTGAATCTTCTAAATTTGGATGTTTTCCCTCGCCAGGCTGAGTGTACCAGCAATGTTAGAGTGGTTGGATTGATTGGCAAAGAGGACATGTTGACATCGTCTGTCGGATCCAAATCTTCTAAATTTGGATGTTTAAGCTTGAACAATGATAGCTATTACTTTTTCGGAGACTATATGAAAAAGGATGGTGTAGCTGTTCTCTAGGATACGATGGCAACGCATACATCACTGATGGGTGCCAAGTTATATGTTAGTAGGTAGTTTCTTACATATTTGCAGTAGTTATATCATTACAAGAGAACATGTGTGTCCTATCTTTGTTTATTTTTCCATTTGATATATAAAGCCTCCTGCGTTCCAACAATGTATTTTTTCCTTCAGATATCGACGAGTGCCTACAACCAGAAGTTTATCCCTGCAATGGTACCTGTGTCAATATGCAAGGGACATACCGTTGCTCAGCAAAGAAAAACATCATTAACTTAGCAGGTACAGAAAACACACTCAATACAAGGCTTCATTGGTGATAAGTGCAAAAGAAAAATTTCATGTTTTGTTCATCAATTATTGTGAGTTTAGATTTTCTCCCTGAAATAAAATACAGATAAGTGTTACTAGAAAGTTACATTTTTTAATACTACTACTGCTAGGACCTAGCTACTTGATCCTTCAGTTTACAGTTATCTCTAATGCTAACTCAAAGCATTAGTAGTATTGTAGATCATTCAGACATGGATAATAAAGGAAATAAAAAGAACGAATGTAAAGTACTTCCAATATCAATGGTCTAGTAGATATTCTTATTACAAGAAAACTTTTTCATGGCATAGTTGAGAAGTCCGAAATAGATTTAATGTAGCAACTTGATTTCTTGAAGTGAACACAACAAATATTGTTCTCAAATCTTACGTTTGTTTTCTGCAGGTCCATTTACCATAACATCAATTGTTGTTGGTTTTGGCCTACTATTTTCACTCCTGGGTGTTGCCCAAGTCACAAAAAAACTCAAGAAACGAAGAGCCAAGAAGTTTAGACAAAAGTTGTTTAGGAAAAACCATGGATTTCTTCTGCAACAGTTGATCTCTTCAAACAAAGATATAGCCGAAAAGATGAAGATTTTCAGCTTAAAAGAGCTAGAGCAAGCAACCAACAAATTTGACCATAACCGTATCCTTGGTGACGGTGGGCATGGCACGGTGTATAAAGGCATCTTATCTGATCAACGTGTTGTGGCCATCAAGAAGGCCAAAAATGTTGTGCAAAGGGAAATTGACGAGTTTATAAATGAGGTTGTTATACTTTCACAGACAAACCATAGGAATGTGGTGAAGCTCTTTGGTTGCTGCCTCGAGACAGAAGTTCCTCTGCTAGTTTATGAGTTCATATCAAATGGAACTCTCTCGTCTTATCTCCATGGCCAACTTGAGAACCATTTGTCATGGAAAGATCGATTGAGGATTGCATTGGAAACTGCCAAGGCTATTGCATATCTACACTCGGCTGCTTCCATATCAGTATACCATAGAGACATCAAATGCGCCAATATACTACTTACCGACGCTTTAACAACAAAAGTATCAGATTTTGGAGCTTCGAGGTCAATTGCAATAGACGAAACAGGAATACTTACAGTCGTGCAAGGAACCTATGGTTACCTTGATCCTGAATACTACTACACTAGTCGACTGACAGAGAAGAGTGATGTTTACAGCTTTGGTGTGATCCTAGCAGAGCTACTAACGGGGGTTACCCCAGTTTTTTCTTCTCATTCATCGGAAGCCACAAGCCTAGCATCACACTTTGTATCACTAATGAGAGACAATTGTCTGTTAGCTATTCTAGATACACAAATTGTTCTTGAAGGAGGAGTTGAAGATGTTGAGGTGGTTGCAAGACTTGCACATGCATGCTTAAGCTTAAAAGGGGAAGAAAGACCTACAATGAGGGAAGTTGAGACAATACTTGAAGATGTCCAAAGCTCAAATATCCATCACAATTCTCAAACAATAAGAGTGGGCCAGAGTCCTCTAAAAGACCAGCCATGGAAGGGGAACAATGGTGGCGAAGGAAGTAGAGTATATAGCTTGGAAAAGGAGTTCATCCATTCATTGGAAATTCCAATATGAGTTTACTTGCAAGGCAAATTGTTGTAATTATTATTAAGAGTTCTGGTACCATAATGTGGAATGTATGTTATGTGCTATAAGCCTATAACCATATGTGTATTTCCAATGCTAGTAGGTGATGTAGAACCAAATATGTGAAAGTAAATAAAGTTAATTCAGCTAAAATTTATACCTGACATGTAGTTTGTCTCACTGAATATTAGAAGTTTGCAATAAAAATATGTTGACAGGTCCATGAATGTACACACTGTAAATAGCTCCCATTCAAGCACCAAATTAGCAACATGCATGTTAACCTGATACCACTGAAAATGAAAAGACAATGCTTTGTTGCAAAAATTTACGTTGACGCTTTGTCGAAATACTTGTATTATAACTTGGCTAGAAATCCACCAGGCACACACAATATACATGGTCAACATCAAACGTGACCAGCCTCATTGAGATAATATCATGCATTTTGATTGACAACCCTAACAAAAAACATGTAAATCATAAAGAGAGAATGCTATTTGTATTTAATATATACTAATTTTAGATTTATTTTTTAAAGGGCATCAATTTTGGTTACAAATGCGTACAGGTAAAAATAGTTGGAGATTTCCTGCAAAAAAAAATAGTTGGAGATTGCATAGGGTGTAAATTAGTACATCGAATTCTAAAAGTATTTAAAAATGGACAACAACACCACTCCATCCGGGTGTGAAAAATTTGAAAGAGAAAATTTAGCCAACCAGCAGGCACTAAAATCTCACCAATTGAGCCGGTTAATTACTGTTCTCTGAGCCTTCATCCACCATGTTGTCCCTGGTTTAATAAGTGTCTAAATGAATCTTATGTAATCTCAAGTTTGGATGTGTAAAAGTTAATTTAAAAATTTATGATAATTATGTTCATAAAAGATATTGATGATTTAATAAATATCTCTAAATGAATATTATAATTTCAAGAACAATTTAACTTTTATAGAGAAGAACAATTCGAGTTTTATCTTGTTGGGGTGCACGAGCCGTAGCAGTAGTGCAACACTAGGGTGATACTCAAGGATCCATGTAGCAAGCTACATGTGGATCCTCCTTCACAAAAATAATAATTTAATATCATATTGACATGTAAATCCACGTATCAGATATTAAACTGATAAGAACAGATACTACACTTGATCTTAGTCGAAAGGTCAAGAAAGTTATGACTTGAAGTAAGGCTTGCTCCTCCTTTTGTATCCTTCCCCACCGACTCTTCTTTCGTAGCCAGGCAATGTGGTACTAATCAGAACTGAAGACACTATATTTTAGAAACTACCAGGAGCTGGCCGTATCCCTATGTGCTAGGCAAGTCGACAGGGCCGTGCTTCCACTTTGAGTTTTGAGTTTTTGTCAGACCGCCCAATTGCGTAACGTGTAGCACGGCACAAATTAGGCCCAGCTCGTTTGCAAATTCTTCGAACTTTCAGCACACAAATTGCAAGATCTGATTTGTCTCGGAGAAAATTAAAAGATCAGATCATCAAACTTATATGGTGCACAAAATCGAGTAACATGCATCCACACTCAAGCAGCTTCATGTGATCTTATTATTCCTGTTTGATATCATTGTGGTTGTAGTACTGCAACCGTTGGAAGCAGAACTCATCATCACACACACAACATGACAATTGACATGATCACCATAGTGAGAATCCTGGCACAGTTGACTCGATTTCAGTTGGCCTTCCTGCAGTTCACCCTGACCTGCCCGCTGGATCCAGTGAGCACGCCGATGCCGCCCATCTTCACCATGGCGTCGCGGAAGTCGTCGAAGAAGCCGGCGCCCATGCCGGACGCGTACGCGGTGGTCTGCGCGTCAGCCGAGCCGCCACCGCTGAACAGCTGCTGGTCCGAGTGCAGCAGGCCCTTGTTCCGCAGGAGGTTCTTGTAGTAGAAGTTGTCGAACACGTAGGACGTGGAGGGGTCCAGCGGCGAGGTGTTGTCGTCGCCGGTGCCGTCCGTGGACGGGCACCTCGGCTTCAGCGACGTGGCGAGCGTCGCGTCCAGGCTGGGTGCGGTCTCGTTGTAGAGGCGGCCGCGGAAGTTGACGCACCGGGCCTGGCCGATGGTGTGCGCGCCGGAGAGCGCCACCATGTCCTTCTGGGTGAGGCCCTTGATCGAGAATGCCTTGGTCAGGGCGCCGAGGTCGGAGGTCGGCGCCGGGAGGTCGCTGTTCGCGGCGTCCTGGCTCGTCGTCATCCCGTCCCTCCGGCCTAGCTCCACGTCCCAGGTAGGCCCGCCCAACTGCAGTTGATCGGAGTTCATAACAGAATTAAGCAAGTAGTTTTGATTTTTGATCTGAATTCTGAAGCTTGTATGGTGCTGCTTACCGCGACAACGGAGTCACGGGCGGCGACGGCGAGGATGTCGGCGCAGGACACCACCTTGGCGCAGGCTTTCTCGAGCTGCGCCTTGATGTCGTCGACCAGCTCAAAGCCGCGAAGGGAGTTCTTGTTTGGCACCGCATTCTTCTCGCCGGTGGCGCCATCGAGCAGCACCGAACCGTCACAGCCCTGCACAAGTCCACGGGTCAATGGTTAGTCCTGCCGAAAAGAGAAATCGTATGAAGGTGACGAGCGTACGAAGACACTTGCATTGACGAAGCAGTCGTGGAAATGGAGGCGGAGCAGCGACGCGCCCATGCGGGATTCTTTGGAGACGGCGGCTCTCACGGCGTCCTCGATGATGTCCAGAGCGTCCGGGCAGCTTTCGTCGTAGAATTCAGCCGAAAGCTCGGCTGAAACAATAGCCGCGGAGAAGAAGAGCAAGGCCATGATGCCGTAGGAACCGAAGGCATGCTTGGATGATGTCATTGGTAATGCCTACTTGCCTAGATCTACCCACAAAGAGAATTTTCTGACTTGAGTATGAAGTGTAGTGTGTAGTGTGTGCCGGCTACGAGAGCTAATTAGCTACGTGCACCGAGGTATTTATAGGGGATATTTCCGGTTATGTCGCCGACTCGCTGTACCCTTTTCTTTTTCCAAACAAATTAACAGAGGTGGCACCGCCAGCCAAATGATGTTCTACCATACCGTGCATGCATTCGCGGTTCGTTGCTTTGGGATTCATACTATGTTTTCTGGAATTTTGCAATGTTTGTTTGTTTTACGGTATTGCATAATTAATGTTTCATTAGTTTTTCTAAGGAAAAAAAATAGCATGGTATGAAAAAATAGTGCGGTCCTTAAAATTCAATTTAGCGAAGCTATATCACGCTATAGTGAACGATTTTACACTAATTTTATTTAGCGAGATATTGCTCGGAACACTATAGCGCTATTTTTTTCAATGACCTTTTCTTGCTTTATTTAAAATGCATCATAATGTTTCGTTGCGTACCAACGAATAAGAGTGAACTTGTTTCAGTGTGGATTTGCTGGTACCCAACAAATCGCTATGATACATTTAAAAAAAGTAACAAAAACATGATTTTATACACGAGACAACCATTGTCAAAAAAACAGAAACGTAATATGAACCTTAAACAACATCAGACGACAGATATCATGTGCATGATAGAAAACCCACTCTCGGTACCACCATTCCTATTTCCTTGGTAAAAAAAATTAGGAATGGTGACACTTGTATGTCTGTGTCCACTTTTATTAAGATTGCTTAAGTTTGATTGAATGATTACATAGAGACCTTATCTATGATAAGGGACAGTTTCATCATCTCTCTTCATTCATTATCTGCTACATACTCCAACATTGAACATCGGGGGTAGATAACAATCTGATTCGAGGAACTAAGAGACGACACCACCATTGAACATTGGGAGCAACCTAATAACTCGGTGGCTTAATTGGTGTCCCAGATCAAAATCAATAGAGAACCAGCCACTTGAAGTTTGGATAAACCATTCCTTTGTCCGGTGTCTACAATACATATACTCATTTCACTCATATAGTACTAATTTCACTTTTTCCAGATCGAGAAAATTATGCTGAAAAGAAAAACATACGTATTGGCATTCCAACTGGGGACATGATTTCAAAAGCCACAATCAACATATGGCCATGTGGGTCAGGTTCGCACTATGGAGGTTAACATTGGACTTAGCGACAACATTAAAAATCATAAGATGGCAAGCTTCATTTATTAGGTCGTAGACTCATCTTTTCTTGATATGTGTGATGTTACAGTAACTAGCTATGTTACCACATGTCTCACTTTCTTCATTAATTACATGCTACATCATCTATTTTGTCTATATAAGTGTGATGTTACCACCTATGTTATCCCCACTGTGGGTAGTCTAAGCCCAGGTGTGAATAGCGCCGCAGCTGGCCTGACCTAGGTTAACAAATTAGGCCGGTGGCATGTTTGCCTTAAGCAGTACTACTATACTTTGTTAGTGATAGTGAACTTTAACTGTATAAGCAAAGAAAAGGGTATATATTTAATTTGGATTTTGGAATCCATGCATGGATGGGGATCTCCCAAACTTTGTGGCTTTTTTCAGCATCATCGTCAATGTTGCTTCTTTGTCTTTGCTCTTCACCTCTCTGCGATGCGGAATAATTTCCATCTTGTTCCTTGGAAGAAAAAGGGTATGTTTTTCATATTAATTTGTTCAACTTCCTTACCTTTTGTGATTTAACAACTTGCATCGTCCATATGTGAAATAAAACAAGTACTAATGCTAAAGCTTGTGTGATTAAATATTGGATTAGGCAGTTCCAAGAAAGGATTAGGCGGGTGAAAAGTCTTGACTTAGAGCTGTCCTAGCACTGACCACGGCGATGTCTGGCGTGGCACACCCACAGTGCTTGCCAAACTTATGCCTCTATTGTACTACCTCTATAAATTAATATAAGAGCATTTAGATCACTTAGTGTTGTTTTCGCGACTGCTCCAAGAGTTAAACAACACAAGGGAAGGTTGTCGCGCATGCCATCGCCAGTGGCTCGCGCATGATCATGAGAAGCTCTGCTAGTTTATACTCCAGTGGTGAATGATTGTAAAGAG